CACACACACACACACACACACACACACACACACACACACACACACACTATTTAACATGAAGGGACTAGCAACAGTGCTGTTCTGTGACTTTGTTTTCGTTATCAAGACTTGAAGACCCTTCTGAGTCATTACATTTCATTTTCACCTCTTCTCAATACAGACTGTGTGTGTTCAGATCAGTCATGATTTGGGGCATCTATTTAAGACATTCACATTGTTCCCAAATTTTTACTTGTTAACTTAGGTATAAGCAACTTTTGATATCACATGTTTGCATGCGTATGTTGGGATGGGCTCCTAAGGCTGTAAATATCCACGTATGGGCAGTTCATGTGCTTTGAACACATATGTGAGCACAGGCGTTTACAATGCCTGATATATAATTTAACTTCCAAGAAACTTCACCACGTGGGATGTCTATTATTCTGCATTTTTACTAACACTATTATCAATCATTCAAAAATGGTAATCTTAGGGGTGAAAAACTGCAAGTGATTCAATTTGTCTTTCTGTGAAATCACATACAGTTCAGAGATTTGCTGGTCAGTGATATGGTATTCCTTCCTATTATGATGATTCCTGTTTAAAAACATTGTTTTAGTTACATCAGCCATTTCCTAAGGTGGTACATTTGTTTGTTTCTTCCTTCCTTTCTTTTCTCCTCATACCAACTTGTTTGTTGTGTTCTCTAGAGAATTTGGAGGGATTTGTCATTAAGATTGTGTCAATGGCATTAGGAAAGCTAACAGCTTTAGTGGATATATGCTTCTTTCATCCCATAACTATTTCAGCATTTATTCAGCATTCTCTCATGTCTTTTTGAAAAGTTTCTGCATGTTTGCCCATGTATAGACACTGCATCACCTAGTATGGTTTTATTTTGCATTTCCCAGATTACTGGTAGGGTTATATAGTTGCTGGCTGCTTGAGTATTCTCTTTGGTGCTTTGTTGACTTCAGTATTTTGTCTGTGCATTTTTTGTTTGTTTGTTTCTGAAACAAAGTATTACTATATAGATTTGGCTAGCCTCAAACTTACAGAGATGTACTTGACTCTGTGGAATATGTGTTTCGATGTCTTGCTTCTGTTCATGATTTGATGCAGTAGCTTGTCTTTCTGACTTGTAAGATTCCTCTGAGTTCTGTGCTTCTGAGTCCTTAGGCTCTTAATCACTGAGCAACCTCTTCAGTTCCTTTTCAAATGTTTATGTATGTTCATTTAAAAAATGTTCTGTGTTTTTAAAAACTATTTGAAGGTAGGTGTGATGGTTACTATTGAAAGGTAAGTGTGATGGTTAATTTTAACTGCCTACTCTAGAATCACCTAGGAAGACAGTCTCAGTAGGGAACAGTCTACATAAGATTGGCCTGTGGACAAGTCTGTGGGGGATTATTTTGATCACTAAGATGACAATCCCACTGTGTGTGGCATTACTTCTTTGGCAGAGAGAATTATAGAGAGTGGAAAAAACAAGCAGCATATTAACATGGGTTCATGAATTAATGCTTTTTGGTTTTGAGTGTGAATTATAACGTGTCTAGCTGCCTTAAATTCCTGCTACCTTGACCTCATTATAATTGGCTGAACCTGGAATTGTGAGCCAAATAAACCCTTTTCCCTTTAAGTTGCTTTTGTCAGAGTATTTTATCACAGTAAGGGAATAAAACTAAGACAACAGTTATTTAGAGGTTACTTGATAGATGTATATATTTGTATAGGTCTTGTATTAAAAACGTGTTTCAAACAGTCTTTTGTTTGGATATGTTTGCTATATCAATTAAAGAGGGATGTATTACTATCGTTAAGCAAGACTAGGAATTTGTCTATTTTTCTTTGAGTTCTGTCAATTTTTCTTTGTATATATAAGAAAATGTTACCATGGGTATATCCACATTGAAAGCTACTGTATCTCTCTGAGAACTGAACCTTTTTGTCATTTTCAAGCATCCCTGCTTGAGGTAATGCTTTTCTCCACTTGGTACCTACTTTGATTATTGCATGTCTCTTTTATAGTGTAAATATTCCTCCAAAGTCTGGAAATCCTAACTAGTTTCTCTATCTTCCTACCTACTTACTTGGAAATAAGTTTGCTAGCCTTCCTTATTTATTAAAATTTACTTTTCATATCTATGGGTGTGTAATCCTGAGACAGTTATGGCAGCATAGTGACGACTAAGGAGGGAGGGAGGGAAGGAGAGAGGGAGAAGGAGAGGGAGAGGTGGTGAAGAGAGGGAGAGGGAGGAGGATAGGGAAGACAGGGATAGGGACAGGGGGAGGGACAGGGATGGGGGAGGAAGAGGAAGAGCTGATTGAGTGAAAACTGCACTTTGATGTACCTCTCAGAGGGTGCTATTGTCATTCAGAACTTAGCACAAAGTGCATTGAGAAACCAGCTTCTCTTGAAAGTATGTGTGTGGTTCTCAAATGATTGTCCCCAGCAGTATTTCTTTGCTTTTCTATAACTTCCCTCTCAGCATTAACTTGTGGGTTAGTGTTTTTATTTTTATATTCTTTTGACTATCTTAATAGACATGTTCCTTCTCTTTCTATTCCAGCCACGTGTGTGTGTGTGTGTGTGTGTGTGTGTGCGTGTGTGTATGTGTGTATAACTTTATGTTTGCAGTTATTTGCTTGTTTTGTGGTGCTGGAAACAGAACTCAAAGCCTCGTGCATAATCTATCATTGAGACATATCCCCAGGAAGAACTTTAAAAAATTTCTCAGAATGATCGACCCACTTGTAGTACAATCCAGTCTCTTCAAGTGATGCTGGATGTCTTTTGTTTTTCTTTTTTGTTTTGTTACATATATTTTCCTCTCATTTCATGCATGGAGAAATGGGCCCACCTGCCAACATGATACTTCATATAATTGCTAATTTTGTTTTTTTGTGTTCACCAAGCTAGCTTACTTCAAATCCCAACACATTACACTGCTTTTGCTTCCATGGTTTATAACGCATTTTGGTACGCTGCTGCTCTGGGTACTTGCTAGATCACTCACCTTTAAACTTTCCACATCTTCTTCTACATATTCTTCAAACTGACTTAAGTAAAAAGGCCTAAATTCTTCTTCAATGCCTGTATGAAAAAACAGTCCTTTAAATTTTTTATCTTTTGAAGATGTTCACATGTGTAAGTGTGTATGTAGGCTCAAAGACAACATTAGCTGTTCCTTAGCTGCCATCCATTCTGCTTTTTGAGACAGGGTCTCTTGCTGACCTAGGCTAGTCTGGCTGGACAATGAGCCTCTGCCTGTCTTCCCCTCCCCGGCATTGGAATAGCAAGTACTTATCATCACAATTGGCTTCTTAATGTAAGGATTAAACTCAGGTCCTCCTGCTTATAAGACAGTTTACCAACAGGGCCATCTTCACAGCCCCTCAAATTTCTTAATTAAAATGTCAAATATTAATAATCTATTATTTTTAAGTCACTTACCATAGTATGTAGACAAAGAAATGAAATAAAGTTTGAAACTCCAAATAACTGACTTTGATGAAAAGACCAGTGCTCAATGCCAGGTAGACATCATAGAGCTAACACTTGTAATCCCTGGCTTCAGCAGAACAGTGTACCTTTCTCTGGCCACAGCATAGTCCTGATAGTGTGAGGTAATCGCCATGTGAATAAAGACGATGGAACTCCATGTTTTCTATCTCTGGCACTAAGAAGCTAGAGCTACTAGAATGGAGGTGGGGGTGGTGCTGGACATGGTGAATTATGCATGTAACCCCAGGCTGACACAGAGTCTGACACAAGTTCAGGGATGAGTTCCAAGCTAGCTTGGACTTTATGAGTGAGGTTCCATCTTCAAAACAAAACAAAACAGAAAATCTTCAGTTCTAGGAGGATAGACTAGCAATATTTTTCCTTATTCTTCCATACAATAAAACAACCTAGTACAATAAAACATTCTAGATATTATATATAAAATAAACATATGGATACTCTGGAAGAAAGGTAGGCAAAGTAGCTTGGACCTCAGGGTCTGTAAAATCACATGGCACTAAGTTCACCGTGCTTCACTCATATATCCCATGGTTAAAGCTGAAAATGTAGCAATCCAGAAATATCATCACGCACAGACAACAGCAGTAACAAAACAACAACAAAAGCTTTTTTTTCTAACCAGAGAACTAAGCATGTGGCAGCCTACTAGTACATAAAACCTTTGGTCAATGATCAATCTACTAACCAGCTAATGCCACAGAAAACAACCATGATTTTTACCCTATTCTCACAAACTCAACGGACAGCCTAGACTTCTGTGGTAGTTTGAATGAGAATGGCCCCATAGGTTTATATATTTGAATGTTTGGTCCTAAGTTGGTGGAACTGCTTGGGAAGGATTGGTAGGTGTGGCCTTGTTGGAGGAGGTGTGTCATTGAGGGGCAGGCTTCTGAGGTTTCAAAAGCCCAAGACATTCTCAGTAAACTAGCTCTGCTTTATAGTTGTGTCTCAAGATGTGAGCGCCATGCCTGTCTGCCTGCCTGCCTGTTGTCATGCTCCTTGTCACAGTAGTCCTGGCCCTCTGCAACTGTAAGCCCCAATAAGCTCTTTCACCTACAAGTTGTCTTGGTTCTGGTGTCTTATCACTGCAACAAAAAAGTGATTAAGACAACTTCCAACCTGGTGAGACGCTTGACAATCACTGCCAGGATGATTTAAGAGATCATCAAAGAAGAAGCCAGAACTTTCCTGCCTGAAGCTGGTAACAAGCTCTTACAACACCATGGGCAGCTCTTAAAATCTATGAATCTCCCAATGAAATAAAGGTGCCATTGGGGCAGAAGCAGGGGGACTAACATCCTTAGGGATGGATGGTCACTAGAAAAGCTACGCCACTGATTAAAGCTGGAATTCTGGGAACCACCATGTGATGCCCAGGGAGAGGAACTGGAGATTAAATTCAGTCACTAACGACCAATGATTTGCTTAACTGTGACCACATAATAAAACTACATAAATTCATAAATGGTGGGGGTCCAAAGAATTTCTAGGTTAGTGAAGAAAAAAGAAATGCTGAGAGGGAGGCACGCCTGCAGAAGATCTGGGGGCTCCTCTGCAGAGGGTTTAGAAGCTCAGCAGCCCCTACTTGAACACACTGCCTGTATACCTCTTCTATCTGGCTGTTTCTGAATTTAATGTTTCATAACATTGAGTTATATTTAAGTGCATTATTTTTTGAGCCAGATGAGTCTATTACCAAATCTGAGATGGGGTATACACACCAAAACTCATAGTCAGCTGGGCAGCAGCCTGGGTATCCTATGTGTACAATGTGGGTGACAGTCATATGAGACTAAGCTCTTAAATGTGGAATGTCATGATAGCCTGCAAAGTGTCAGAAATGTAAATATAAGTAGTATCAGGGAAATGATGCATGACAATCAAAACAATGGGTAAATAAAAGCAAAAGGCTTTCTTTTAAAGTTTCTTTAACTATGAAGATTTCAAGAAAGCTGCAGCATGGTCTGATGCACCCTACATGTGTGCCTGTGTGGGTGTGAAGCAGGAAAGGCCTACCCTGAACATGGGCAGAATTATCCCATGAGCTGAGGCCTTGCACTGAATACTCGGAGAGAGCAAATGACTGCCAGCATCTGTGTCTGTTTCCTTCCTGACTCTAGATGCAATGTGGCCAGCCGCCTTGTGCTATAGCTGCCATGACATCCTGCCGTGGTAGACTTACTCTTGAACTGAGCCAAAATAAACTTTCCTCGAGTTGCTTTGTCCTCTTTGTCACAGCATCAGGAAAAGTAAATTACCAGTGTCACCTTACTAACAGTGCCACCATGTCAGATGCATCCTAAATAGGCACACAACCCATTCTTACCAAGGAACGTTGGCCTGTCTTCTGGGATCGCCTGCCAGCACCGCTCCATGAGGCTGATGATCTCCTTTGGACAGTACTCAATGATGTCCTCCACATTGGGCCTGTTCCCATTGTTTATGCAGATCAGGAACTGCTCAGTACAGAGGACATCTGCAAAGAGCGGTGAACTTCAGTTGGGGCTCTCAGTCCCACTCTACTCTCAAGCAGGAAGATGACAGGACTTGGATAATACTGCTATTTTGTCTCTACCTAAGGTAAGCTTTTTCCATGGCTGTCTCATTCCATAAAGTAACAGCCTTGTGGCGAGGAGTTGATATAGTCTACTATAGAAATGATAGGATGATGTTTTGATTTTGCAGAAGAGAAACAAATTCAAAACAAAGCTACCTTTTCATGGGTAAAGTCATGGCATTCTCCAGAGTTCAATACAGAGGCAAACACAGGATGGCCTGGGCTTTAAGAAGCTCAGTTTAATGAGATAGAGTTAAATATACATGATAACTGATATTCTAGAGGCAAGAATGAGGGGTTCTGGTAAAAACAATCATGATGAGAACAGTTAAAGTTGCTTATTGTGCCACTCAGTACAGGTGATAAGCAACCTGTACTGTGCTGATAAACTTGGCAACTTGTTCGGGGGATGTTACTTTGGAGGTGCCTGTGGTATACATGCTGGGTCTAACAGGTCCGTGGGTATCTTGGTCATGGTCAGAGACTAAGGTTTAAGAGACATCAGCAAAGAGATGATGGTCCCTGATCTATTGCTGTTAGTAATCATGAAGAATTCACAGAAAGTAGTCATTCCTTCCCACACTTAACCAAACAGAAGGATGACTTTTCCCCTGTACAATGACTTAGTTACCTTTATATTCCCAGTTGACTGAACTGTCCACAGTAGGTGATGAAAAAGGCTCATTCACAAATAGAATCAAAGTATGGGGTGTATGCCCAGTAGTAAGAAGGGCCGTCCCTACTCCAGGAAGAATACTGGAGTTTTATAGCAACTCTCAAACTAAGCTGTATTATAAAGGAGTCTACCCACCCCATGAGTTTATCCTAAACTGGGATGACTAATTCAACAAAGGTTTCTTGAGCACCTAATGTATTTCAGGATCTCTGTCTCTCTGTCTTTGTCTCTCTATGTGTCTATGTGTGTGTATCTGCTACATAAATAGCAATGAATAAATCAGATATGGGATTGGCCTTTATGATACTACAGAAGCAATTACAAGAACAATTATAGATTTTTAACAGAATTCACTAAAGGGCATTATTTCATGTTTAAAAAATTACTATACTTAAAAAGTTTAGTGGGGGGTATCTGTATGTATATCAGAGAGACAGAGAGAAAAGAGAAGAGGAGAGAGAGAGAGAGAGAGAGAGAGAGAGAGAGAGAGAGAGAGAGAG